GAGTTAGGAACTCTTGGCAAGGAAAGTTGTGTCATGGCCACGTTTACAATATAAATTTTCAGTTCTGCGAGCAATGGTTGAGGTGCAGAAGGCTGGTTCTATGATTCCTTGATGAGGTTCATAAGAGCTGGAATAAGGGCTAAGCTCAGTGGCTGTGACCTTTCTTGGTCAATGTCCCCAAATATCAGGTCCTCTGCAGGAGGTGGAGGTTGCTCTGTTTGCATTTTAAGAGTCTTTGCCATCCTAGATATCATTTGTACGTATGAAGAGAAGTCTTCCAAAGGAAAGGATGGGTGTGGGTCACCAGGATCAGACTCAAATGATTCCGCCTCAACAGGTGTTTCCGCAGGAGATGGGGAGAAGACCTCTTCCTCCTGACCAGAAGAGACAGAAGAGAAGATTTCATTTTGTTCTAAAGGAGAGGGCAAGTGTGTGCTCTTCCTAGGTTTTTGTTTAGTTTGCATTGATGGTAGTTGGGGAATTGGATGCTGGTTTGCAGACTGGATCCCTTTCAGTGCCAGCTTCAATGGGTTAGTATGTTTGGAGGTAGCTTTAGAACGTCCTTTAGATCGAATGTTGACATCAACATCATGTCAATGCCAACATTGAGGTGGAGATGGAGAAGATGATGTCGACGTCGAAGCATAGACATAATGAATTTTCCTGTGCCTACGGTAGTCTTCTGACGTTGAGTCAGAGTCATCGTGTCGACGTCGATACCGAGATTGCTTTTTGTCGACCTCGACATAAACAGAGTTGCCCCGTTTGTACTTCTTACGGTGTTGAGATGCCTTAGGTAAGATGACTACCTCCTTACAGGAGGAACGGCATCGATCTGGTGAAATATGCTTTCTCTTTGGCATCTTTTTTCGGAGTGGAGAATTCTGCCTCAATGAGATCAATGGCGAAAGAGGTACCGGTGACGCCCGCCCAGTGTAAACAGGGCTACGATGGGCAGAGGTCGGGCTAGAGAGAACCACCCCTTCTAGCTGACCTGGGCTCGGTGAACGGATGAGCCCGGTGGGTGATGTCTCCCGTTGGCGCCGAGGCAGAGAAGCAGCTGTGATGATTTGTGTTCTCCGGCACCCCCGTAAATCTCTTTGGAGATAAGGGGCTGCTTACAGCAGCAGCCTCGGAAAGAGACTCACGATCCCGAGAGGAATCCTCGAGGCTCAGAAACAGCAACGTTGCTCTTTAGCCTTTTCTTTCTTATCTCGTGACATCGTTTTTTTCTGTTTTAGGTTTTCGACGTCAAGGTAAGCCCTTTCTTATTCGGTGAAGTGGATGATTTTCTTGTTGGTTTGTCGACCAGTTTTGGAATAGACAAGGACGGAGAGGGGATGTTAGCCTCCGAATGAGGTGTAGCCGAAGGGTTAGAAGCCATTTCCATATCTGAGGGTTTTGAGGCAGACAAGAGTCTTATCCCAAAGATAGAGTTTTAGGCGTTGCTGGCAAGCCTTTAAACAGCTTTTGTAAATTTTTTACAATGCTGGCAAGATTGAGACTGGTGAGTGTCGCCTAGACATAAAAGGCAGCGGTCGTAACAGTCCGAGAATGATAACTTGCAGGAGCACGATGCGCACCTGCTGAACGGTCCTGAAGGGGACATAAAGCAGGGAAGGAAGGGGGAAAAGAAGACTCACAGCGGAGACCAGTTTGAAAACGGATGATTTCCGAAGATAATAGGATCCGGAAGAAGGGAAAAAGGGCACAGCAGCGGCAATCAACAAGAGCAGTGGCGGCAATCAACAAACACGGTGGTTCAAAGCGCGGGAAACAAAGCCAATCAACAAGCCCAAGAGTATCCAAAACAGTCCGTGGTCAAGGGGCAACAGAGGAATTTCAGTCGAAAAGCAGTCCGTGTCAAAAACTGAATTTTTTATAATCAAAAAGAGTTGTATGAAAAGAGCTCTAACCAAGAAGTTCCCAGCACGATGGCAGTAAAATGAAACTGAAGGCTGAGGCGTGTGGAGCATGCGCGATAGGGGCAATTCTAAACTTTGTTACTTTTTTAGAAAAGCTCTAGACGATTCCGAAAAGACCAGCTTAGGTGCTGTCAAACCCAATTGTGTGCATTCACAGAGGCCACGCAGAATGTTTAGTTTTATAGAAACCAAAATTGTTCACCTTTCAAAATGATCTGCTTCCCTAAATGACTTCTTAAAAGGTTTAACAGACTTTATTTCCCCCCCATAAATTGTTTTTCTGCCACTTTCCATCTGTATTTTATTCCTTTTGCTGCATGCTTCAGAAACCTTCTTATGTCACACCACAGGGTGTGCACTTCATTATGATCACCTTTCTTCAGTCATAATTCTCTTCCTTTTTATTCTCTTCTAATTCTTCCTACACTTGTCTTTTCAAAAAGGCAGTAGCCAATGCCTAGTTATTCTATTTGATTAACTGGCAATGTTAGTAACTGCAATTTTTATTCCACATTTTATATACAATGTTTCTTTTATGTTACAGGAAATGACACTCATATCTTCTCTATAATAGTCACATTTCTGCCCTGTATCAACCTTTAGAATAATTGGCCCAAATCCAATTATCACACTGACACTGCAATACTAGTGCAATAGATTTTATTTCCCATTTGTGCTGCCCTAACACTATCTCTGTCAGGCTTCTCCGCCCTCCAAATATGCCTTTAAAGGGAGCAGATATGAGCTGCTGTGGGAATGGGGATTGTCCTGTAAGTGTTGGATTCTACTGTTCTAGCTGCAAAAGTCCAACAGACATTGCTTGTTAATATTCTTAAAATTCTTGATGATATCCAAGATGAGCCAGTCATCTACATAAACATAATAATATTCTTATAAATATTTGTGGCTAGTATCTCGTCACCAAAACGTGAAATAGAAGGAAAATTGTGCAACTATTACTCCTCTTTGCTCACTCCCGACAGCATGTGTGACAACAGGCATCTGATGGGCAAACCTTTCACAGCAAGTACAGGGGAGGTTACACGATTTCCATTCCATTTCATATTTAGGCTTCTTAAATTTTTGTGATACATAATATTTCTAATGTATTTCTTATTTCATACAAACCATAAAATAAAAGGTGCAGTTACTGGACCCATGACAAAGAAGAAATTTAAATTCTTAACTTCCATTTTGAGTGTCATCTTTGCAGAGGATTTTCCTGCCTCCCTTATAAATTACCTTTTGATTTTTTTTAAAAAAAGTAAAAAAACAGACAATAAACAGAAGTTTTCACTTGATGATTTTCTATATTTACAGGAAACATCATCAACCTCTAGCTTTTGCCTTAGGCAGCTATAATGTCATTTGACCTTAGGAAAAGAGTACCGTATTTTTCACTCCATAAGACACATTTTTTCCTCCAAAAAAGTGGGTGGAATAGTGTGCGCGCCTTATGGAGTGAATACTGTAAAAAAAACAGTGCTATTTGTAGACCCCCCCAGAGCCCATGCCACTGTCATACGCGGCTGGGCTCTGTACTCATTAGTAGCGCTGGTACTACAGGGCATCCATAGCAGCCCTATAGGACCAGCGCCGCTTACTGGACAGCCGGATCACATGACCAGCCAGACACCGGGGGGGAAGCAGAGAGAGAGAGAGAACAGAGGAAGGGAGAAGACTCATCCAGGTACTGTAAATAACATAATACAGAGGATTTCCTGGCTGGATTGCTGACTGGTGACATTAAGGAGCACATATGGATGACTGAGGCATTGTTGGTGAAAAGTAGGATTTGTTTTCATTTGCTCATTGAGCAACTCTTGGCTCTTTTGAGATTTGTCGTACTATTCAAAGCGACCCACTCTAACAGTATCTTAAACCTGGACTTTTGATACTTTACACTGATATATTGCACCTTGGGGTGTCTACTTCCCTAATGGTGAACATAATTCAAAATGTGTTATATAAAGTAATAGACCTCCTCACGTGAGACCACTCTGCCTATATACTATACAACTTGTCCAAAGCCAATTACTTAGTCATTCTCATTCTCACTGTTGCAAAGTTGCTTTCCCTCGACTTTGTATCTCAAAAAGCTTCATTTCTTGGTGGGTGGCTTTTTTTTATTTCTTTTAATGCTCAGGAACATGCAGTGCTGGCAGCAAAAGCCCAGCATCCTGAGTAGGGCTTTCCGGTATGCCTTATACTTCCTTAAAACCAAGATCAATCTATTCAAGTCAGCAAAAGACTTTCAATTATCTTCTTGCAACCCATTTGCTTTTCTAGCCCTTTTTATCGTAAATAACATAATACAGAGGAATTCCTGGCTAGATTGCTGACTGGTGACATTAAGGGGCACATATCGATGACGCTATCAATTAAGGGGCACAATATGGATGGCAGTATCACTGTAGGGCCACAACATGGATGGCAATATCAATTAAGGGGCACAATATGGATGACTATTTGGTTCAGAATTTTTTTCCTGTTCTCCTCCTCTAAAAATTAGCTGCGTCTTATGGTGAAGTGTGTCTTATGGAGTGAAAAATACGGTATATTTCGCTTTCTATATGGTATTATTCCATTCTTTTCCCTTTCATGACAAAGTAAAGGCTTGTCATCTTGGATTTTAAATTAAGAAGATCACTCAGAATGAGTGAAACACAACATCAGTAAACTAAAGTATTTACTACATTTGAGTGCCTCAGATGGCAAAACTCAAGAGAAGAAATGGCATGACATAAAAGATAGATCAATGACTGCAGCAGAACAAACAAATAGAAACTTATAAATGTACAACACAGCAAGAACAGTATTGATTATCACAGCAGCCATTTAAAGAATTTTGTAATTTGAAAAAACTAATTTTATTTTCATAAGAAAAGAATTTATAAATGCAGACCATATAGGGACAAACATTTCATTTAATGTATTTTGTTCTTCTTTGGGACATGGTCTTATGATTATTTAAATTCAGGAGTAATTCTTGGTTGATGGACTGCACTGCTGCAGGCTACAATCCCATAATGCCTAAAGGGCATTTCAGTGGAGACAGTCTACAAAGAACCTTACCCCTTCCCGAAGGCACCTCATTAGCACAGTGTAAGCAGCTGAAGGAAGGACCCAGTGCTCTCTGGAGTGCTCTTTCTTCCCATCCTGTGAATGATGTGGAAGGGTCAGAAATGATAACATGCAAAACACATTGCCAAAACTATCATTTCGAATACAACAATCTCTAGGTTATATGCTTGTAAGTGATGCCTTTACTGTTAAGGCAGATACATTAACTTTTTTTTTGCTATATGAGTTTTGTACAAATTAGTAACTGTTTCTTTCATTTTTAAATGGATGACAACATATATATTTTCAGATGTGTCACTGAAGATATATGTGAGCTGGACCAAAGTAGATCTTCCTTATTTTCTGTTAAACTCAGGCAACTCACTATACATTAATATTGATTGATCTCTCTCCTACCCTAACCAAGGCAATTAACTTGAACCTCTTCTTTGATTTTTACTGTACAAGTGACATATGAGATAAACAGAAGTACAGTAATTTTTTCAAAAGCAACAGAAGGAAATGGGCAATGTAACCACCCCCTGGGATTCCCAAGTGACCCACCAAGTTGTCTTCTTATAGAGCTTCCACGAGCTGGACAACACAATGCCATAACAAGGGTTTCTTTAACTTGGAGCAAATAGAATACGGACAATATATTTATTTAAAATTTATTTAAAATATTTTTACCCCACCTTTCTGCTTAAAAGGACACAAGGTGGCTATGGCGTCCACCCATGTCATGAATATTAATATGCATCTGCACAGACCAATGGGAGTCCTGGAGGGGGAGAGTCACAAGATATAAGAAACTCAGCAGGAGGAGGGGGAGTTTCAGATAGATAGAAAGTTTTGAGTTAGGAAGACAGGTGGTTTTGGAAGTTTTGGCAGAAGAGTGGTGGTGGAAAGTGAATAAAGGAGAATGTTTAAGAGATAACAACATTGTTTGTTCTTTCAACACCTGTATCAATAAACAATTTACATTTGGTTCTTTTAAAATGACATATGGCCTGGACCTTGATTATTAATAATAGGTATTGCTGATGAAATCAACTGGTGGCAGCTGAGGGGCATTTAGCGTGAGCTCCTAGTTTGGTGAAACAAGCAGGGCCCACGTGGAGATTGTGACAATGGCTAATAAGCAAACGTGAACAACTAGCTACAAACAGGTTGTTATGGCTGTAACCATCCTAACCTACAAGATCCTGGGGAGGTACTGAGCCATGGTCACTGAGGATCTGGAGGACCCCCTGGGGGTGGGTGAGGAAGGGAGACCTGCAGCATGGATGGCTGATGGCAAGTGTCAGCTCCCTTGGACTGTGGTTTCTGTGTCAGGGTTTTCAACCTCCATAAGCAGTATGTTCATCAGCTGGAGTTGTAGGAGGCTCATTTCTTTCAGTCAACCAAACCATTTACCCTTTTTATGCTTATTTCTTGGTATTTTATTTTGGTTATATTTGAAGTTAGAGAACATCTGGTGCTTAATATAAATACAGGTACCTAGCGTTCATACTCTTGCTTCATCATCTTTATTGAAGTCTAATGGCCTTAGCTATGACCTTAGGAAGTGACTAGAAAGCTAATAAAACTTACAGTGGACCCTCAGTTTATGGAGGTCCCTACTTCTGGAAACTTCGAGGTATGAAAAGCTTCGGCTGCAAAATTTTTGTTCAACTTGTGGCCAGAACTTCAACATATGAAATGCAGGGGGAAAGGGTGGGAAATTTGAAGCAGCCTCTGCTGCCCTCTGATATCATGTCCCCAGTGCCCTCTGACTCCTTTGGCTAGGAAGAGAGGGCACCAGGGAGAGAAGACAAGAGGGCACTGGGTGCAGCTTTCTAAGCCCCAAAAGCTTAAAGCACGCGCGGAGCGGCTTTCGGCTTGCAGCTTTGGAAGTCGGGAAGCTGAAAGCCGCTCTGCACCCGCTGTCAGTTTTCCCGGGCTTCCAAAGCTGCACCCGCTGCCCTCTGCCTCCTGGCCCTGCAGGGATGGGAGGCAGAGGACAGTGAGGACAGAAGGCAGAGGGCAGCGGGTGCAGCTTTCTAGCCCTGAAAGCTGGCAGCGGGCGCAGAGCAGCTTTTGGCTTCCCAGGCTTCCAAAGCTGCACCCGCTGCCCTCTGCCTCCTGGCCCTGCAGGGATGGGAGGCAGAGGACAGTGAGGACAGAAGGCAGAGGGCAGCGGGTGCAGCTTTCTAGCCCTGAAAGCTGGCAGCGGGCGCAGAGCAGCTTTTGGCTTCCCAGGCTTCCAAAGCTGCACCCGCTGCCCTCTGCCTCCTGGCCCTGCAGGGATGGGAGGCAGAGGACAGTGAGGACAGAAGGCAGAGGGCAGCGGGTGCAGCTTTGGAAGCCCGGGATTTTTTTTTCTTTGGCTGGAATGGATTAAATTGTTTTCAATGCATGAAAAATGGACCCTTGACCTACGGAATTTTTGAACTGCAGCCACAGTTCCAATACAGATTAATTCCATAAATCGAGGGTCCACTGTAGTAACATTTAAAATTTATATAAGACGCAATTAGAAAGCTATACCCAACAAGGAACAAAAACCCAAAATCTTTCTCTCTCTCTCTCTTCCTCCCCTTCCCAAACCCCCTCTCCAACAGGGTTGCTTCAAACTACAACTACAGTGGTGCCTCGTATAACGAGTGCCCCGTTTAACGATGAATCCGCATACCGATGCGGATTTTGCGATCGCTTTTGCAATCGCATTGCGATGTTGCCTATGGGGAAAAATCACTTTGCGATTTTTCCCCATAGGCCCCATTTTCCCCCAGCTGAGCGGCGGGAGCTCCCGCTCAGCTGGGGGAAAATGCCTGCGGTGACCTCCGAAGGACCCTTTCAAAGGATCCTTCCGAGGCAACCGCAGGAATTCCGCTTTTGAGGGGGCATTTTCCCCGAGCTGAGCGGGAGCCCCGCCGCTCAGCTGGGGGAAAATGTCAACGGTGGGCGGCGGCCTCAGAAGGACCCCGAAGCCACTGCCCACCGCTGACATTTGCCTTCCGAGCTCTCAAAGGGTCCCCCTCCGACATTGGAGAAAGCCCTTTGAGAGCTCGGAAGGCTCTCAGCGGC